AGTTGTAGAACTTGTGTTTATTACATTTTGGATTGTTTGTTTAATCCAGCTTAATTCAACAAATTGTGCTATAATTTTTTCTAAGATTTTATGTTATTAACTTTTTTTAACTGAATTGCACGATAGCTATATAGCGAAGTAAAGTGTCAGTCTGACGTTCGTCTTCAGAGGCAAAATGACAGAGGTTCAAGGAACAAACATGTAGGGACTTGCAGGCATGCAGGGGGGGAGGAGAAACACAAAAGGGATTAATTGGGGCACGCCAGTGTTGGTGATTTGCCTGAGGTTTTCGGAGCTTTAAATCCTGCATTAACAATTTGGATATTTTCAAGTTTTTATGTTATGAGCTTTTCTAATTTTTTTTCTTAAACTGAATTGCACGATTGTTTTTTTATTTCAAAACTCTAATGCTATGTCTATATAGCTATAGCAAAGTGAAGTGTCTGCCACCTTCATGTTTATGATAATCTATCACGAGACTGGGACGATTTATCAAAAAGGCATAACTCATTGGTTTGCGGAAACATCAAATAACGAACGGATTAATTAACAAATAATTCAGTTTAAAAACGAAGGATTCAATTTAATATGGTCAGACATTAGAAGAGCAATAATGATAGAAATAGAAATATTTTCCGTTGAAAAAAATCATGGGGAACTTGCCGTAGAAGAGTCTTTCGAAATTACATGTACTAAATTAAAACAAATTATGTTGTTCGCATCGCAAGGACCGAGTCTGAAGGACCAGTATTTCGACGTAATTACTTTTTTTCTCTCCCTCAAACCTTTGCCGGTTTGACTATTTGGGGTTTTTTTTCTAATTGCCGGCAAAGGGCAAAGCAAATTAGGTGGCGTTAACCATGCGAGCATTCAGGAGTCGAACCGAGGAAGTCAACTTAAATGAACCCATTACATATACTCAAAAAAAATCTGTCGATCTACTCAATAAAATTAAGTAGATCGAATCGAATTCGATTACGTCATTTCAACTTGTAATAATTTTAAGTTATCGCCACTTCAGTTTTTAAGTAAGTATTAATTAAATTTAATCATTTAGAATCTACTTAATACATTTAAGGCAACCCACTTGCCTTTCAGTAAATTCTGCTTATTATGATTTAAGTAATTGCAACTCACATGCAAAGGGAATCTAGTAATGAATAAAATGATGGAATTATCTGCTACGTGGTTAGATTTACCAAATGGTATAGTATTGATTCATACTTCAGGGAATCATCACTTATCACAACATAATCTCGGTACATATTATAACGAAGTTCCAAGTTGAATTTTCATATTAATATCGACAGCACTAGTGAAAGCACGTGTGCACTGTTTGCATTTACTCACTGCTGATGTTCTAAGAGACAAATCGTACTACTCCTGCTGGTTGGTTGGACGTAAATACAACACCCCCCCCCCCGAAAAAAAAAATATGTATGATGTTCGCACGAAAAAGCAATTTAATGTCAAATACATACAACCTAATATAACAATTTTTATTGAACATTAATGAATTTATCATTGAAGACTTAAAAACTTTAAGTTATACCCACTCTTTGTGATGTACGTGTTTATTACTCAAACTTGCTAATCAAATCTATGAATAATTAATGACTCTTTTGTCAATATTAGCTTTACTTAGCTTTGTTGTGTTTTTATGACATAAAACCTTCACGTTCCATCTGCAAGTTATAAATTTAAGTATTTAGCACTGAAATGAATTAAGTGCACGTGAGGAATCTGGTTTTTTTTGAGTAATATTAACCGAAGGGTTTATGTATATGATTGACTTCATTTTAAATGATGTTGTCTATTTCCTCATTTTCTTCATGTGGATGAAACTAAATAAATTAAGTATAATTCACTTTTAATATTTTATGATTTTTAAACTAAAAAAGCAACGTAAAAACAACTAAAATTTAGTTTTAAGTACTATTCAATCATTTAAATGGAAGATACAACATTTGCAAATATCAAAAAACGAAATGATCTAATTATCACGAAATATCTTACTGAATTGTTAGGGAATGACAGTCTAAGCATCCTGTAAAATCGTGGCTCCTGGTGTGCTGATATTTTGAAGAAAATTGTATTTTTCCAAAGCTGCATGGTCGGCCGACCAGCGTTGGAAACAAAACTGGCTTTTTTTCAAAAACTACTACCAATTTTTCATATTTAGTAATTCCGAAGTTTCTGTGCAGTTGATTACACACCTTTGAAGGGGTACAAACCTTCTAGACTATTTTTCTATACCTTTCAATTTCCCAAAGTCTATAAATTGCTTCGTTTCGTCTTAAGGGGTGTCAGGGAACCAGACAACAAGAACATAATTTATTTTCTTGGTATTTCCAAGAAGACAATCCATCTATTGGGCAGTGCTCAAACCGGACGATCGTGGGTACTATGCTTTTTTAGGTATAAGCTCGCGAATGTTTCGCTGATTGAACGTTTGCCCTTGTAAAATGAACTTAATCGAAGAATTTTGATTTTAAAAAGAAGTGAATATATTAGTATTGAGTGGATCATTATTCTGACTTAGGTCTTAAAGACCACAACAGAGGGTGCCGGCTTGAAACTTCGCTTGGAAATTTATAAAGGCCTATTAAAAACATTTAGGAACTCAACTTTTCAATAAAAAAAACGTAACTTATTGAAAACAAAATAAACATACACATCCGAGTTGTGGTCATATTTCCATTAAAATTGCAGTTATATGTAAATATTATTAAGCGAATGTGCGTTCATCATATAATTTTTAAAGTCCCACAAAACATTGTACGCAAAATCGCGCTATATTCCTAAAATCTAGTATAGTTATACGTTTGTGCTCTAAATTAACGCGAAGTAAAATACAAGAAGTATAGAAATTTAACCCCTGTCAAACTCATTCGTTTTTTTTTCTCCTTTATCGTTTTAAAATCAAGACACCAATTTGGCTTAATGATACAGGCCCAATTCGTCACCGACAGTAGAAAAGAAAATGGGGGGAGGGGGAGGTAAATGCGTACCCATAATGACTGAAGGACGATTTATTTGTTTTTAATTTGTTTAAGGGTTTGCCAAAGTGAAATGTTGTCTGCTTGAGTAATGCCATTTCGATCTCTTTATACTGGGGTAGAAAGAAAATACCTTTGGAAGCAAAGGTGAAATCGATTTGACTTGCTTTTCTTTATTGGGGTTGCGCCAGATTCGTGGTTATAATGATATTAACGCAACAAAAAAAATCTGGGGGTACATTATAGCGGGTCCACTAGAAGCACGGTGAACTGAATACGCCCCGAGTACATTATTTTTTAGAACGCACGGTGAATGGCCTCGCAAGGGAAAGTAAGGCTGCATCCGAATCAGTTGTCTAGAGCTAGGTCTAGGTCTGCGCCAATTGAAAATACGCGGGGACGCGCTGACAATAGACGTAGCCGTAGCTCTGGAAGCCCGTTTCGGACACGGCCTAAGCCTATTTGTCATTTTTCGTTATTGTGAGAATCCGTAGCCGTAGACCAAAATGCCAGTCTCGCATCTGTCTCGCTCACAGCGCCTAGTGCGTAACGACAAAGTTTCGTGCACCAGTCTGGATTGACGTTCACGCATCAGTGACCACAACTGCTAGCGGTAGGTACTGGTTGATGCGTTGAGCACCACTGAAACTGACATTGTTCATTTGCAATATTTTGGGAAATTTAAGGGTTTTCTGTTCGATTTGTAAGATGTGAGTTACATATCAGATCCCGTTTCACGAAACTATCCTGCTGTTGGGTGACAAAATCGCGGCTATCTTCTTCCAAACCTCTCGGAAACAAAGTTGCGGAAGTTGTCAACCGGTGCTTGTAGACGTGGGCGCAATGGCGCAGTCGGCGTGTACATCGGGGAATTTGATGCCCGCTAACTTCCGGGTTCGTGGACATCTTGCCATGGAGGATTTTATTTACTCGCTTCTGATTGTCCTGTCCGTGGTATTCGGTGTAAAAGGCAAGTTTAACAAGGCATCATTTACAAAAAGGCTTATTATTGTCGAGATCTGGATTTTGCTCAAGGTACTGTCGTCGTGTCGGTTCAAAATTGGAAGTGTTTCCACTCCCAAATTCATGTCTTTTCAGCATTTCTGCAATGACTAACCTCCATTAAGATAATAATGATGAGAAAAGTGGCGTCAGGATGCAACATTCTTTCCCCAGAGCGTCGTAACTCAGTAACTGCCAAATTAGCATTTTATGTATTTTTATCATTAATATCAAGATTTATCCAAAGATTGTTACAGGAGAATTTTCATTTAAAAAATATTGCGTCATTAGGACGTAATTAATTAAAGTCATGTGGTCGTATTGCGATTACGATCCTGAACAAAAGGTGATGACAAAAGTCATCGAAACTCATATTCTTGTAGTGATGTGACATCATTGTTTATTTTTCCATTTTCTATAAACCAAATGATCATCAGAAAATATAATGAAAAAGTAAGTGGAAAATATTATGAGAATAAAAAAGGAAAAAAAAAGTTGCAACCTGACGCCACTTCCATCATTGTGTACAAAGTGTATGGAGAGTCAAGAACATTTCAATTTTTACCATTTCAACACATCACAAGTTAGGCCTATTGCATTGCATGTTAACTGTTGATGTGGTATTTGCACTCTTAGAGAAATGTTTACACTTCAATTCAGTTTTATATGAATTGTCTTTTCATTGTTCACTTTTCTAAAACTTAACAAGTTTAATGATACATGAGTTTAATGATAAAGTGCACCAATTAAAAAACCCTTTATGCTTGCATTCGGGTATATTCATCCAGCAAATTGTGGATCAGATTTCCGTATTTGTTTCATGCGCCCAATACGATTAACAACAAGTTTCAAATTAAAGCCAGATATTCAAATGAATACACACAGAATGTGACTGTTTTGTATCTGTAAGTATGTGTTACAACTTAAGTAAAAGACAACTTAGTACTAGACACCCAATATAAGTGAAGTGTCTTGTTTTCACTTCAACAGGTGATACATTGCACCTGACAATGGTCACGCCCACACCTTATGGGGCGGGGTCTGCACAATCCTCAGCAAGCATCAGCTGTTTCCGTAGCAGTCCTGATGCAGACGTCACACTGAGCTTTGGCAGGCCATTCCAGATCGGTCTGGGAGGATCTACAATACAAACATCTACCACCCTCCCTACTGGCAGTACACCATCAGTAAATGGACAAATAGTCACACAGGATCTGACCACCAGTATTGATGCCACTGGGCTGTTTTATTGTGAAGGTTCCAATAGAGGGCTAACAACCAGGGTATACAGCATCATCCACAGTGTGAACAGTGAGTTGGGTTTTTTTTACAGGGCAAGACAAAAGTCTCAAGGACTCCCTTACTTAACTGTTTAGTGATTTCTTAGAATATAAGAAAACAAAATGAATGTGTTCAAAACTTGCAAACAGTGGACTAAGAATGCATTATGAACTGCCAGAGAAGTTTTGAATATAGAATATTGTGGCAGTTTTCCCTCAGTGAATGAACCCCTGACTCATCGGAACTGTTTAACCCAGAAGCTGCGTCGCTCGTGTGAAAATACGGCCAGGGACGGGAACCGTTTGGATGGAAATATAACTCCCGTTACACTGAGAACAAAGACTTCTGATAAACGGCACAACACAGAGAATTATTCTATTTCTACTTATGGTTAGCTAATTTATTTGACTCCACTTCCACTTCCGCTTTTGAGCGAAAATTACATTTTCTCACTAACTACAATAGATAACATGACACATCAACAGTAACTCTGAACTCAGGTTACACTGGTGCATCGGTTGCATGCACAACGTCGTACTCACATTAATTATCCTCCACCCCCCCCCCCCGGCACCTGTACGGCTATACACAATGCCTGACTCCTCAACAACCCAGCTCCTCAACTACAGTAGCCCCCCGACCACTGGGCTCTGCCTTTTATACCCAGTCTCAGTTTCTGTTATTTTCGAATAAGCTACCGGTCAGCCGGTACTTGCACAAGGCAATATGGACTCCACCCCAACCCCTGTTTTGAAAGTCCCTACCAACATATTTTGGTCACAAAACAATGGTCTCACTATAAAACAATGGCCTCACTATAACCATTGCTTTCCATTCCGCTAAGATTAATTAAATCCATGGCAGTTGCCAAAAGTGCATAATACATACATGTAGTTAAGTTTTTTTCACAAACCATTTTACGCTGTCCACAACATCATCTCAAAACACCCTGTCAGCCCACTAACAGCTACATGTAATTCTTAACTTATTCCCTATGTCTTGATGCGCTTGACATCCCTTGGGTTTCCAAACTTTCAGTTTCTCACGAAGGATTTCCCAAACACCAATGTTGCACACCTTGTACCATTACCAGGCATTCACGCTTCCATCTCTCCTTGGTTCACAAGCCAACCGGACCCATTTCCCTACAATATTAACTGTCAAAGATGTTTTAACCCTAGCAGAACTCAATCCATTAAACCCCAACGGTTTGTTTTAATGGAATCTGTCAGGATGGGTACAGTACCACCTAAACTGACAGTCTTTTACATTGGATTGGCACACCTCCAGAATCAAAGTCAGAAATATGTGTGTGCAGTTTCCCATATGGTGTTGGAATTTGCCAGGATGGGTATGGTTCATAGTAAATTATGCTGGGGTGTTAGGGTTAAAGTACCGGGTATGTACCTACATGTTTGTACATCAAGTCTTGAAGGTTTGCCTGGTGGAAAGTTAAAACGTTTTAATTTCTTTTGTATGGTTTGAAAAAGAACCAGAGTTGGTAATGTGACTTTTTAAATTGAAATTTTGTTAAGACCTGTGAAATTCATATAACATTGTATTCCTTTCTCCTGTAGGGAGGTTTGAGCCTGTTGATGGCCTGGTGACAAAGACGATCAACAAAGAAGAGGATGTGACTCTCTCAGTCATCACAGTAAATTCCGGTGGCTCTCCTCTGTGGCATCGTATAAGAAATGGAACTGTTACTTCAAATTTCCCAAATTTCAATCAGGCTAGTTTCACACTGCCTTCTACTGACGCTGTTGATGGGGATCTGTATACTGTGGTCGGATCTGTTGTTACTCTCACTGACAATCATTTCAGTATGATCAGACTCATCGTCAGAGGTACAGTAGGTCATGCTGCATATTTGTGTCTCTCTACAATCTAGTTTTAAAGTGACAAACTATTTTGTACTTTAAAGAGATAGATGCAAAACTGTTTTATTCCAAGCAGTGCATTGATATTTTTGGTTTGTATCTTCAGTATGTCATGTAATATAAAATATATATGCATACCGGTACCTTATTTGTGAGGACCCCCTGCATCTGATGTCACTTCTGATGGTACACGTAGGTATTGGTTTCTCTGTGAGGGGTATATGATTAATTTAAAAAATGTACTTTTACCTTCATTTTTATTTGATCTCAGCAGTGGTTAGCAATGTAAGTGGACTAATGTTAGAAACATAATTATGTAATGTACCAAATAAAAAAAAAATCACAGGTTTTACAACATACATGTAGTTCAAATACCTCTACATTAGTAATTTTCCTGCTTCATCTGGTAATTTACATTTCAAACAGTGTGAGCGCCAGTTTTAAATCATTCACAGCTATGCGTGCATTGGACGCATTTTTTTATAACTCATACATTCAAATGGTAAACACGACAGCCTCTTGAATTCCATTCCATGTACATAATAATTTAAAGGCTGTGCTGCTGGCAAGTGGGGTCCTCCTGACTGTGCAGGGGTGTGTGATTTGTGCTACATTGGAGGAGTGTGTAATGATGAGACAGGAGATTGCATCTGCCCACCAGGATTCAGTGGACCAAACTGCCTCACAGGTAAGCTCATTGCTTCTTCTGTCTGTCTGTTGGGCGGGCTGTAGGTCTGAGTGTGCGATCTGTGCTACAATAGAGGAGTGTGCGATGATGAGACAGGAGATTGCATCTGCCCACCAGGATTCAGTGGACAAAACTGCCTCACAGGTAAGCTCATTGCTTCTTCTGTCTGTCTGTTGGGCGGGCTGTAGGTCTGAGTGTGCGATCTGTGCTACAATAGAGGAGTGTGCGATGATGAGACAGGAGATTGCATCTGCCCACCAGGATTCAGTGGACCAAACTGCCTCACAGGTAAGCTCATTGCCTGGTATGTCTGTCTGTCGGGCGGGCTGTCGGTCTGAGTGTGCGATCTGTGCTACAATGGAGGAGTGTGTGATGATGAGACAGGAGATTGCATCTGCCCACCAGGATTCAGTGGACCAAAGTGCCTCACAGGTAAGCTCATTGCCTGGTATGTCTGTCTGTCGGGCGGGCTGTCGGTCTGAGTGTGCGATCTGTGCTACAATGGAGGAGTGTGTGATGATGAGACAGGAGATTCCATCTGCCCACCAGGATTCAGTGGACAAACTGCCTCACAGGTAAGCTCATTGCCTGGTATGTCTGTCTGTCGGGCGGGCTGTCGGTCTGAGTGTGTGATATGTGCTACAATGCAGGAGTGTGTGATGATGAGACAGGAGATTGCATCTGCCCACCAGGATAAACTTGGACCAAACTGCCTCACAGGTAAGCTCATTGCCTGGTATGTCTGTCTGTCGGGCGGGCTGTCGGTCTGAGTGTGCGATCTGTGCTACAATGGAGGAGTGTGTGATGATGAGACAGGAAATTGCATCTGCCCAACAGGATTCAGTGGACCAAACTGCCTCACAGGTAAGCTCATTGCCTGGTCTGTCTGTCTGTCGAGTAGGCTGTGTGAGTGTGCACACCCCCCCCCCCCCATTCTCTGACACAAGACAAAAGGATGACAATTATAGTAATAATATTTACCGATATGTCAGCCTTTCTGCAACACTCGGACTTAGCAGCATAGCCAGCCCCCCCCCCCCCCCCCCATCCCTCTAGTCCACTTTTTTTATTTTACTGAGACCAAGTGTCCGGAGGAACAAAAAAGCTGTCAATCAGATTTTAGCACTGATTTGCTGATAACAAACAATCTGTCGGGCCATACCACCCACCTACAAAATTTTCCTGGATCCTCCTGGACATACAAGATTGTTTTTCCAGGAATTGAATAACGGATTGTAGGTTGACATGTTCTTGGTAACACGAAAATGTGCCAACCCAAGAAGTGTCAACATTATTAGTAAATCTTGAAGAAACATTATTTCAAGGGAAAAATCATGTTTTATTTCTTCTCGGGTCTAAAAAGGATCGTAGTATGGCATTTCTTTCTTTTTTCAATTGACATATACTTTATTGCAGCCTGTGGTATGCACAGATTTGGCTGGGAATGCGAGTTTCAGTGTGGACCAGGTAACTCCATCCAGAGTTGTGTAGGGAGCCAGTTTGGTCTGCCAGACCCGTACGGGAACAGCTGCATCTCGGGATACTGTGGCAGAGACTGCAATGTCGGTAAGTATTGACTGGAAATTCATCTCTCAGCCAAGAACTTTCCAACAGAAATATGTTGTGGTATAGTACGTTATGTGGTTTTGAGTTTTATAAGTGCAGCATTCCGTTTCAGCAATCAGTCCTTCGAATTTGGACTTCTACTGATGTCATTATCACTTTAGCTTCCATTGTTAGCCTCAAGAAATAAGGACTGAATGTATTCCTTTTCAGGGGTACAAAAAAAACATTCCTGACGAAATGTTACATTCATATATTTAAGCAGCTTTGTATTCATAAAAGCCGGACTGTGTCATTTTGAGATATGTTGGTGTACTCTACAAGTTACAACATTTCGATATTTAATATCGTTCATATCAGTAGGCCTAGTCTGTTCAAGAATATAATTAGATCTGGACATCAAAACCAATTTTGAGCAGATGGAGTCTGGGTTACTGAAATCAGTTCAATGATCCTCATAAATATAACAAACATAATGTATAGGGTTTCTGGTCTTTTAAACTTTATATGTTGTACTCCGGTGTACTCTTGATTACAGTTTGTCCCTCCGGAACATTTGGTGCTGGATGTACCCAGACCTGCCGCTGTCAGGCAGTAGGTGCCGCTTGTGATAGATTCACTGGAGCATGTACACCAAGTGGATGTCAAGCTGGTTGGTCTGGCACAAGCTGCCAAAGTAAGTACCAGATGTTTTTGCCTTCCTCGCATCGCTATGAGTAGGCTGTGCTTCCTACAGCTATATATTTTTCTTACTGTGAAAAAAGATATGGCAAATACTTCGTTAGTTTTTCCTCATACCTTTTGTGGACCCAATGCCAAACACTTTACGTTCTTTTTGCACCACATTGAGTCCGTGGAGTATAATACACAACTGAAACATGATATGAAGAAATAGGGAGTGATGTCCATGTCATTCTTTCCCATTCTTTTTTACCCCTGCAGTATCAGGTACATGTCCGCCTGGCAAGTTTGGACTAGACTGTCTTAGCGATTGTCACTGTGCTAACAACGCTGCCTGCGAGAGAGACAGTGGTTACTGCAGTGAATCGAATGGAGTCTGTGCTGATGGATTCAAGTCAGATATGAATGCCAACAACTGCCAGACAGGTACAATTGATCCTAGAATTTGTAACGGGCGTCGCGGGGGGCCAATGGGGCCCTTGCCCCCGGAAAAGCAGCAGCAACAACAACAACAGTAAGATTAAGGGAAAAGTCTTATTGATGTTAATTTAATGCACATTTATGTATGCGAGTTTGCGTGGATGTCAATAGGGTGGGGTGGGCAAATCCCCTTCCCCCCGTCCGCCCTCGAAAAACAACGTACAAGGATTTTGGGAACAAAATCCTGGCGACGCCCATGATAATGTTCAGTATGTGTCCAACAGCTGATATAGTTATGCACTATATTCATGATCCATTTAACTAAACTATGCACTGCTGAGCAATGTCATGAATATTTTTAATAATGTGGAGGAGGATATTCACAGCTTTAGCAATGACCGTTGATACATGATTTCATATTGGTCACAAAACAGTCATTTATTCACATGCATGTGTAGCATCAGAAACTATTACATAAAATCTGTTGTCTTAATCTGTTGTCTCAACTCAAAATTCTGTCACAGAAACAAATGTGTGAGTTACTTCAATATGCAGTGTATTAACCTTTATAAGTTGGGCAATAGACTGGCCTAACAATGGTCATGCCATCTGTAAAATCGTACATTTTCAATTTGTGAGCCACGCCTTTTCCCACCCGAAGTGAAACTGTTGCATAAGTCACAGAAACCCTTCGGATAATACTGGGCATTTTAATACACAATAAGGCACGTCGAGTGAAGAGAAATTCAAATACCATTCATATTAAAGAAATCGTTTCAATCCTGAATATTATTATTAAAAACATATGCTCCTACTAATTGTACTATATGATGTACAAAGGGTCTATGTGGGCTCGGTGCACAAGTACCCCTCAACAGTCACAACATTAGAGTAGGGAATGCCACCGGGAGGGACATTCGAACGCATTGTCAATTGCACCTGACACAAAGATGTTAACAGTTTGCGAACAACCCAAAAAAATCAGTCGTGCGTTCACGGCGTATTAAATTGTAACAATTTCTAACATTGTTGATGACATTTTTTTTGATAGACGCAAGATAATTATGTGATAATGTAATAGTCACGTGGTATAAATGGGTTGGTTCCCTAACAGACCTTGGAAAGTACCTGTGCGCTATATGAATCAACTTGGCTTCGCCTCGGAGATTGGAGATTGACAAAAATTAAGGTGTTCCATATGTGCCATCGGCATTGCAGTTTGCAGCTCTTACAGGGATCGTTTTGATCGAATTTATGCAAGACTTTCATGCAAGGTTTCTTGTAACACGGCCTGAGCTTATTGTGCACTCGCACTTGTTCATTATGGGGCTATAGTTTTTGTGCGAGTACAATTGTATTTCACTGGACTAGTGCACAACGTTGGACTAGGCGGATTCCAGGAAGCTTCCTGGCAAACATGCCATGTGGTTGGATTATCAAACGAATTGCACTAGGCTCCACATTATTAGTTTGTTCAAGCGTATGGTATGTTTAATGCCCTGGGAAGGTTTTAGCTCAAAAGGTTATGAAGGTTGTTTGAAATCTGATAAAAGTACTCAAAGCTTTACTTCCTGCATTTAGAGCATTCATTAGTATTCACTTCAATTTTATTTGTTATCAGCTCACAGCGAAATTTGCTTAATTGCATAGTTCATTGTGTCTTTTTTAATTGGTTTAGCAGCATTCACATGACCATGATAAGTAATCGATTAGTGACTCATCTGACCGGGCAATATGCGATTTCGGACTTGCGCTTTGCAAAATTGACAATCATGCAGGAAACCAATCATATACACTTTGTATTTAACCAACATGTGGAAATCAAGCCCGATATTTATATGTACTGGTAGAAGTGCACAATCCAGAATTCACCAAAGTACATCAAATAAAAACGAAGTGTGCATTTTCTGTTAACAGGTATCATTGAATTTCAAATGTTGGCGATGCCCAACCAAGGCCAAGATGTGGCATTCAGTTGTGCAGCTACATCAGGGGACACTCTTTCGGCAGACTCAATCGTCGTAGCATCAGGAAGCTCATCGTTCCCACGAACAGGGACTGTGACTGAAGGCATGGTGCTGAACAACACGTTCACTGGATCTGGACTGATTAACAACCAGTTGGTCGTCTGCTATCTTACTCATAACAGCCAAAGTGTGTTGACCACTTTGAGTGCATCCTTTTTTGGTAAGCAAGCTGAAAGTCAGTTTGTGTTTGTTAAAGGGAATATACATCATTTGCTTTTGCTGTAATATTCAGAAATATATAGCAAATATTGTTACATTGATTTTTTTGACGTTTTGGGTTCGTAGATGCTATAAAACCAAGAAAAACAATCATTTTCCTGTAGTCTGGTTCCCTGACTCCATTTTAAGATGAAACGGAACAATTTATAGACATAGGGGAATTGTAAGGCCAGGGAACCAGTCTAGCTGGCAGAAAATTACAGTATAACTGAAAATTACAGTATACCAGGTGCCATGACTTTACAGGATGCTTTAGCCTGTCATTCACTAACAGTCCAGCAAGGTATTTCATAATAATTTGGTAGTTTTATTGTTTGATGCTTGAAAATGTTGTATTTCCATTTAATAGTGCTGCACTAAATTCGGTAGTAGAAACGTGCCAAGTAACTCAATCGTTTAAGTACCGGGTATTAATCTAGTGCCATAGAGAAATCGTTTGCACATGCATTGATCTTCGCCCTAACAAAGAATTTCATTAAATTGATGCTTTGATTTATGGACATTTTAACAGAACATTTAAGTCAGCTGTTAGATTTAAGCCTTAAATTGAGGCGATGCATTTTAAGCCTGCCGCTCACGAGAGCTTTCGAAGTCGTTTGCTCAGCACGTAGCGCACAAAATATCACTCTGTGTTGTCAATTTGTACTGCACACGGTGATATTTTGGTTACAGCCCGATAGTCCGAAGGTTCGATAGTCCGAAGGTTCTTTGGTCCGAAGGGTCATCAGTCCGAAGGTTCGTTTGTCCGAAGGTTCAATAATCCGAAGGTTCGATAGTCCGAAGGGCCCATTAGTCCGAAAATAGAATAAGGTTCATTAATCCGAAGGTTCTATAGTCCGAATAGACGATAGGGTTCGATGAATCGACAATAAGGTTCGATAGTCCGAATAGATGATAAGGTTCGATAGTCCGAATAGACGATAGGGTTCGATAGTCCAAATTGACAATAAGGTTCGATAGTCCGAATTGAGAATTAGGTTCGATATTCCGAATGGGCAATACGGTTTGTCATTATGACACTTCGGACTATCGGACCTTACCGTTGATTCGGACTATCGGACCTTATTGCCGATTCGGACTATCGGACCTGATAGTCTTTTCGGACTATCGGACCTGATAGTCTTTTCGGACTTTCGAACCTTATTGTCAATTCGGAATAATATACCTCCGGACTATTGAACCTTATTTTTCGTTTCGGAATATTGAACGTTCGGACTGATTGACCTTATCTTAAATTCGGACTATCGAACCTTCGGATAAATGAACCTTCGAACTAATGAACCTTCGGATTAATGAACCTTCGGACTATTGCATCAAATGTTCGGATTAACGAACCTAATTTCATTTTCGGACTAACGAAACCCCTCTTATGGAAATTTTGTGCATTCGGACTATCGGACCTTCGGACTAAAGAACCTTCGGACTATCGGACCTTCGGACTATCGGGCGGCCCCCGATATTTTGTGGGCTACGTGCTGAACACACGGCTTCGTATGACTTTTGCTCACCACGTAGCTCCCGTGTGCGGCGGGCTTAAAGGGGTACAAAGTCCTGAAACCCCGGAAATTTCATGTTTTTGGATTGTTTACTTATCCTATTTCAAACATCTGGTTGAAAGGAAACCAACCTAATGTCTATACCGGTCCCGAGAAAAGACGGGGGAAAACCCGTTGTTTACATCGGACACGACCGAGCGCAAATACGTTTTTCCTGTAGTTCCCTAATTGTACGATATACATGTTTGTCTCGGGAGCAGCGGTGACGAATCACTAATGCGCACAATTAATGTTCTTCCGCGTCCGCAAAAGGCGAACATTTAACGAATGAAATCACAACTAGCAACCGAACAGCTCGACTTTTTAGGGTCGCAAAAATGGACCCCGAAATTTGTTCTCGCACGCATAATACATGAATAACACAAAAACGCCAAGTTTTTAAAGTATAGTTGTGTGGATGTTTATATCCTACTTTTAAAATGTTCTATCCGATAAACATAATTTCGTTCATAGCGCGTTTTGTAGCCCAATTAGGCTGTTCCAGGACCCAGTGTCCCTTTAACACACATCATAGTATTTTGGTTGGTTGTGGATAGGGTTGGTGCCGCAAACATTACAAGATCCTGAAATATTTACCATTTTGGTGAGTCTGATTACCTACCGCATTAGAACAATAATGTTCTTTAGCCGATACCTGAAGATGTATAATTTTGTCACAGATAGCCTCTCATAAGCAATATGATTTGTTTTTACATGCATATATGGGTTTATTCATTGCAAGTTCCAACAAAGGACTGAATAGCTCGATTTGTAGAGTAATGTACGGGAGGTTGCAGGTTCACATCCCACTCTGTCAAAATCTCTTAACATTTACATGTATAGTGCCCGAACTACTGTGGAGTATTTGAGAACGTACTTGTACGGAGTGGAGTGATGTGGCCTCGTGGTCTGGAGGAGCATTGAATTCGTGGTTGTCACCACTCCAGAATTTGGCTAACTTATATACCACTTATTATCATCATACATCCATAATTAAAATAGTACATCTATATACAATCAACTGTTGGTGTTCCTTCTAGTACGATTTTAATTTACAAATTTCCCGGACAAGCCCCCAAAATATGTCACCACTCAGAATTTGGCTAACTTATATCTTTAATATATGAGAGGAATGGCGACCCCGGATCCTATGGACACACCAACAGACAGAATAAAAGACGGGAATAAAACAACTTCTAACTTTCTTCAATTATATTTAAAAAACAAACAACCAAAACTTCACAACTTCTTCTTTACATATATACAGCAAATATCTTACAATTCAATTTCTCTAATTTAACTTGAAGTCGATAAAACTCTTATCTTCACTTTAGGTCACTTCAACTCGAAATTATTATTTCCAACAATTATCAAATGGTTAAATGCTTGGTTTCTCTCCGGTGTATTCTTATTCGTTCCCAAACTAATTTCAATTATATTAAGAACTTGCTTTCTGTGGTACGTCAAGTTTTCCAAACTAAACCAGTTGTACTTAATTCTTGTGCTTCACAGATTCAATAAAGCTTATTTTAGATACTCTCCAAACCGATGTTGAAGCCTCAAGTTGCCCACTAGGTTGCAGGACTGGTCTGCATACACGCTACATCAGTACCATGCTTCAACGCCTTGTCTATAGGTTGCTTGTCAATGGTAGACTCCTTTCCAGTCGGTGTTACTGCCGACGGATCACTCAATACCAAATAAAGAGGCCATCTAAAATAAATATAAGATCCAAAACCTTTCGAGTTTTCTCGTATAATACTAAACATCCCATATCATCTCTACATGATCTGGTTTGCTTTCCAAATCCTCAAGAAGTATCTTATGTATACTAAAATCATTACTTCGAAATTCTCAATCATAATAGCTGACTTTTCTGTTATCAAACTCTTCAATCAAAATTCTCATGCTCAAAGTAATTCTCAACGTCAAATTCAAGATTTGCTGTTAATGATAAAAAATTCTACATTTCTACGATCTTTGACTTCTCTTGGTCGTTTCAAAATCATGCTGGTAAATAAAAACTTCTAAAGATCAATCCAATCTTCATTTCAAAATCAACTTAGTCTCCATCAATCTTAAAGATCACTCCAGTAATAAAGATTTATACAAAACTCCATAAATCAACACTTACGGTAATTTAGCTGGGCGAATACCTGGGGAGGTGAACGGTTGCTATGTGATGTCAAGATGACCGGGACGCTATGACGCTAGAATTTGGCCTGGATTTGCCAAATTCTGGGAAACGGAACTGAACTTTCCGTGTTCCCGCAGGATCAAACTGATCCAAAAGCTAAATCTGCTGTCACCAGATTTCAGGTGCAGGGCAAGCTGAAACCGGTCTGGCAAACATGATCACTCTCTCTCCCACCTTCACTCTAGATCGTCTCTCGATCAGGTCTAAAATGACTTCTCTCTCTCAACAAAATTCACTCACTTCACAACATGGGAAAAAAGTCCTAAACGCTGCGTTTGGTTCAATACAATACGATCTGTTGTCTACTAATTGGTGCGGTTTTGTTCAACGATTAAGATGCGCTTTCTATAACAATTACCATGGCCTATGTACAAAACGTTCTTACGTAAGATGGGATGGGGTTTTTTGCGACTCGACTACGCCTAGGTTGTAAGTGGCTGCGGAAAGTCTACGCGGGAATTGAATAATCCGTTATTGGTTAAAAACTTTAAGACGGATCCATTCGATGCGGGGTGTAACCATATACCTTTGGTATCTCATTAAAAAACATACAACTCACACGGCACAATAAACACACGGAACGCGTTAAAATAATCTAGGTTTCTCGGTTGCAATGTAACAGTGGTCTGTGGGTAATTCCGCGGGTTGTGGGTTCGAGTCCAACCTGTGGCTACGGTGCGTACGTGTGCCCTTGGGCAAGGCACTTTGTCACTCATTGCTTCTCTCCACCCAGTAGTAAATGGGTATCTGTGAGAGTAAAGATGGTTATTGTGATTGTTTTTAGCTGCTTTGCGCCAAAATGGCAACATCGAGTTGTATACTCCCCCAGGGAGCTGAGATGGTATTTGGAATGTTTTATTGGCCCAATGAGCAGGGTAATAATAAGTGCCTTATATCCTTTGGCAATTTGGCGCTCTGTAAGTCCAGTTATTATTATTTATATTATTTTACATGTTGAAAATAAGTTGGCATTTAAGTTACTGACTTTCCTTTGTGGTTGTGTTACAGTTCCCCCATCCCTCAGCCAGTCTCCTGCAGTAGTTGCTGGGCCAGGATCAGTGACTGTCAGCTGGCAGGCATGGGACTCACACATGAATGACTTCGGAGATGGACCAATCATCAGATACATCATTAACTACATGAGTTCAACTAGTGCATCATGGACAATGGCTGATGAGATACCAGTCACAGACCAGTCACAGGCTGCATATAGCTTTGTAGTCCAACCGCTGGAACCAAGCACTCAATACCAGTTCAGCGTGGCTGCTGTAAGAGATGGACCAGGAGGTCAAGGGCCTTTCAGTCCTGCATCACAGTCGATTTATCCTCTAACACCGCCTCCTCCAACAACGCCTCCTCCAACTACTGAAGGCCCCACAGTCGCAGAATCTTCAACACTTCCAGCACCACCCATCACCACCTTACCTGCACCCACTGCTTCAGTAGTAGTTACAGGAAGTTCATGTGAGCATTAGAGTGTACATTAAGCGAGTACATATGATGTGTCATCGCCTTCTTTGTAAATAATGAGCTAGTTTTATATTCAAACTGTACATGATGTACACATCAAGACACAACGATTTTGACTTTAGGGTATAAAACTTAAAATAATAGGTTAATGGTTCTCACGCATAGGGTTGGATTGAGCAGGTCCAGTTTGATTACCGAACCGACTGATTAATTTTTGATAATTGATATTTTTTTGTCCGAAATAAAATGGGTCAAATAGAACATTTCAAGTGAGTGCTTTGATACAACGTTACTGTTCTATGTTGTACACTGCTAGGAATCGTTCTTGCAATTTTTTACATCGCCATTGTGCAGTGCGAATGCAAAGAAGTCACATTCTTTTCACGACTCACGGTCAACTGAGGGATACTTTTAAGTGAAAATGTATAAGATTTTGTTCACATTTGTTTTCTGTGTATTCACTCTAAAAACTGTGTTTAGCAATTAAACACAATCTTGCTATCACTTTGTAAACATGTTTAGAAGCTAAACATTACGTGTCCAATTCCTAAACATCAATGTTCAATTGCAAAACACAATCCATCCTTACTCTAAACATGTTTAGTATTTAAACATGTTTACAAACTGATAGCAAGAAAGTGTTAAGAACAATGTTTAATTGTTAAACACAGTTTTTTGGCAGTGTTGGCTTATTTCAGTAATCCAAAGAAGGTGGGGTGACAAATCGTATAGTCATTAACCCTTCTGACACAAACTTGTAAAAAAATATATTAGTGAAAACACACTTTCAACTATTTCTGAAATCTCAAGAGCTGACTCATGACTAGGCTCCAGTGTTGGAGCAAAGGCTTTGACCCTCAAGGCCAAGGCCAAGGCCAAGGCTTTGACCCTCAAGGCCAAGGCCAAGGCCAAGGCTTTGACCCACAAGCCTCGAGGCCAAGGCCAAGGCTTAACCCTCAAGGCCAAGGCCAAGGCCAAGGCCAAGGCCCTGTTTTATGAAATGACCACAGATGTAGAACTAATTATAGTCACATGAGTGACATATCATCACGCAAGGGCGGATCCAGAACACAATTTTTGGGGGGGGGGGCAAAAGAAATTTTGGTCCCCCCAAAAAGTGGGTCAGAAAATTACGGCTTGGGCTTCGGGGCCCGCTGAAGGGCCCCGAAAATTTTTGGATTCGAGATGCACTATGGTGCGATTTGAGGCAATTTCTGACCATTTTAACCGATGTTTTTTTAGGAAAAGATGGTGGTGTACTCATTGCCTGCCTTTATTACGACGTCACATAAAAAAAAATGGTTTCGTTTTTTTTTTGGGGGGGGGCATGGCCCCTTTTGGCCCCCCTGGATCCGCCCTTATCATCACGAATTGCTCGTTACGAAGAACAACATTTCTTTAATTGCAATCAACATGCTCGCATAGGCCTACACCGTTTTATGACTGCACTGTATCTATTAAAGTATAAGTTCAGGTCTTCAATATGGTTTAACTAAACAAAATAATGATTTACTTCTATATTGACACACAATTCTCCCAAGTGTAACAAAAGGGGGATCCAAGAAACTGATTTGGGAAATTTTTATTTGCTGGCCCAACATGGTCAGAAATATCAGCATTATCTAAAACAGATACATGCAAATCTTTAGCACTTATCAGGGAGACAAATACAACCAATCAGATCTGTTCCATAGTTATATGCAATTAAAGTGATCATCTCATTAGCATTAGCCCCACAAGTGTACGGAATATTGTTGCAGCAAATCTACTACATTGGTAACAAAATGTGATGCTACAAAAGTGGAAGTGTGCCCGACACACAAATCTATAGGGTGCTTCCCTCCTCCATGGTAATACGATTAAAATGGTAACAGCAACATTTCGAACAGATTTATCTGGAAATGCAAAAATCTATGGGCCTTGAAGAGCCTTGACTCAAAATTGCAAGGCCCTGGACCCTCAAGGCCAAGGCCAAGGCCAAGGCTTTTGCCCTCAAGCCTCGAGGCCAAGGCCCTAAAATCCAGCCTTAAGGCAGCCTTAAGGCCAAGGCCCAGCATCAAGCCACTACATCACTGCTAGGCTCCTGTCTACTCCTGTCGTCAACAAATGGAACGTTGATATTAATATTGTGTCCATTTTTCCTTCAGCGACAATTACTCCACAACCCACCCCAGCTGATGAGTCAAACACAGTTCTGATCGCTGTCATTGTCGTTGCCGTAATCGTCGTGATTGTCGTTGCTGTGGTCCTGTGCATTTATTGTATGCGTCGTCGAAGAAGTAGAAGACAACCAGCAAAGCCAACATCAGCAGGAGTACAGGAAATGGTGGGTATTGTCAATTATATGTTTAAGTAATTAAATTACTTTTTCATTTCTGTCATGAAGAGGAAATAAATGTGATTTGATTTTTTTTTTTGATAGGCTACATTATATAATATGTCAGAACTGTGACGGAGACATGACATAAACTATGTTTCCCCTTGTCACGGAACAGCGACTTCCCATTAACACAACAATCTCAAACTGTAACATCTTTTTAGTTTTCGAGTAGGGTCCACCCTTTTTCATACGTTGCCTGTTTCCTGATTTTTGATAATTGGGTGTCGATATATGTGTGTTTTTGCTTTTCGTAGACCGCGTATGAGAATCAGATATCCCCAGACAATGGCACCGGGGCATCAGATTATGAGAGGGTTGGTCACGATCACCCAACATCGTATGAAGTAGTGGGTATTAATATGTCACCACCAACCTATGAGGACGTAGGCTTACCATCTTGGACACAGCGATGGAGTGTTCCATGGGAGGAAATGATGGTTGGCAAGAAGGTCTTGGGCGAAGGAAACTTTGGGGAAGTCCGAGACGGAGCAGTGTTGGTTGGGGAAGACATCTCCAAAGCTGCTATAAAGACACTGAAAGGTACCTTTGATATCTGTAGCTGTGCACTTCAAAACATTTGAATGTATAACAGCAATAAAGTCAATGAGATATACTCTATAGATTAAGTCATTGCCGTTTTTCATTCAATTTTGAGTTTATCAATAAAAATAACCCCACATGTTACATTTCGTTTCACCGGAAAATTCTTCACAGCAAATGCCTCTGAAAATGATCGGCAGAACTTCATGGAGGAATTTCGAACTCTGACCAAAGTTGGACGGCACCCGAACGTGGTCAGTATTCTTGGTGCTTGTCAACACGAAGGTGAGTACATGCAGTGAAATAGCTGGTGTTCATTTACTGATTGTTGTGTCGATTTGTGACCGTGTCGGCCTAGTTGAGAAGAATAGTTTGACCATTTGTAATATTCGTTTCAGCAGAATGCAGTTCGGAAGCAAACCGATGGAGTCATATAGACAGATGTTACCCTTTTTATGGCATTTTTTCCATCTTTGGATTAACAGATATCATATATCTCGCAAAAATTAAATAATCAATGATTTAACTCCAAGTGAAATGAGCCACGGTCCTTGAATGAACGAAATGAAGTTTGAGCATTTTTCTCAAAAACCGTCTCCCAAAACAACCACAGAAATTGCCATTTAATGTCAATTTTCTTTTTCCTAGACATTTTGTACGTGGCTTTGGAGTTCATGCCCAACGGTGATCTGCGCACCTACCTGAGAAATGCCCGATCCCTGGGAGACGATGATCAGTCAACTGTGTCTCCTGAGAAGCTGATTCAGTTTGCTTTGGATGTTGCCAAAGGAATGCAACACCTTGATGCAGTGGGAGTAAGTATATTGTCTTAGTTTTTTATACTTAGTGGAAACATTGTACTGGTAACGAAACCAAGGATTGTTTAAAAGTGTCCGGCTATAGATCGATTGCCGATGATTTGAGCTGTAACAATATATGTACAAGACGTCTACTCATGCGTACCATAGTTGAATAAAAGCACACACCTCAAAGATGATTGCAGTGCAAACGATCTATTAAAGCTTACAAACATAAGAACGGATGATATACAGACTTCATGGGCTTAAAAACAGAGCTGACCGGATCCATGATGGAGTATGGTCCAGTGTTGCAAAGGTGGAACACAGGGAAAGCTCATGAGCATGGACGTCGCGAGGGGGGGGGGGGGCAAGGGGGTGCTTGCCCCCCCCCCCCCGTAAAGCAAAAAAGAAGAAGAAGAAATAAAAAGAGAAAAAAACGCAAAGAAAATGAGGTGCAAAGTCATAGTGGTGAAATTCTAATGGGTGGGGCGAAATGTCCCTGCCCCCTCTAAAAGTGATAATTCGAGAAAATGTAGAGAAATACAGGATTTTGGGGGTAAAAATATGTTTTGCCCCCATCTAGAAAAAATCCAGGCGACGGCCATGCTCATGAGTTTGCAGAAATCAAATTTTGCATACTTTAAAAGTAATAAATAAAGGAACATTCTTTGCAGGTGATCCATCGTGATTTGGCGGCAAGGAACATCCTCCTTGACAGTCAACTGGTTGCTAAGGTTTCTGATTTTGGCTTGTCTGGAGGAGAAGATATCTATGTTCAGATGTCACGGGTAAATATTAACAGCTCTCATTATCTCCTGTTTCATTATTTCTTTTTATTTTCATTATTACAATTTTTTCTTGGGCCTACTCATAAACCTGCCATACTCATTACTCTACCCTCCCTCATACCGAGCTTTTGTAGAAGTACGTGTTTTATTAGAAATACAAGTATTTTAACGTCCTTTTTGATATCTCCTTTTGCAGACTCGGGTTCCTACTCGCTGGCTGTCTCTGGAGTCGTTGACTTCCAAGACTTACACATCAAAGAGTGACGTGTAAGCATAAAAAAGATAACATTAAGAATGTCCATTTACACAACTGAAACACATCACACATGCAGCATTGAACGAGACTCATTCGTCTTTGTTTTTCGTTTCTTGTTATAGATGGTCCTTCGGAATCCTTCTGTGGGAAATTGCCACCCTGGGTAAAGTATTTCGTTCTTTCAATAATTATTAGTTTCCTTTGTTCACGTGTTTGTATAATTTGTCTGGATAATGTGTTCGAAAAGTACATTCTGACTGGAATACGTCGTTTTGTTTTCGCTTGAGTCGTCATTTTCCCATTTAAATTTTAAGCACGTGCGAATTGATCCCATTCTAATCAATGCAATATATCCTTTCGCTAAGAGTTGAGTTTGTTTATTTTTTTCAAGGTGCCACTCCTTATGAAGACACCAAATCTAAGGACCTTTTGTCGAGGTTGAAGAGTGGATACCGGATGCCCAAACCTAGCAGCTGTGATGATAAATTGTAAGATGTGAACATTAAGAGGCTTAAGTCTGAAAATGTTCTTCCGTCGATAGGCTGACTTATCTCTTTATCTATGATTTACATTTTACTATTTCGGAACTGATGTTGAGCCATATCCTTTTGTTTAGTTTTTTTCTCGATATGTGGTTTGTCCTGATTCATTATTCACGTTGCTCCCACATGTGCACGTATTATTATCCTACAATTAAAATACTAAACGCAATGATACGGTAATATACTGTTGTATGTAAATGACAACCAAAATGTGTTGTTTTGCAGCTACAACCTGATGCTGCTGTGCTGGCAGGAAGACCCGGCCCACCGACCTCATTTCAAGAAACTAGTGACTCGTCTGACAAGTATGGGCGACAGCCAAAATGAACATGTGAGTGTTATTCATCATGTGTTTATAGAATGTACTTGATTGTAATATTTCGTCACAAAATGGTGGAATGGTGGAATCATGGTGGAATTATTCTCTCCTTGCTATGTAGACGTACATGCGACTGCTGCCAAAAGCTGACAACTACATGTACTTGATGATTCGCCCTGAGCTGGATGACAACTGAAGGGAGAGACACATAGCGTTGAGTCTGCTCCAGCCAGGACTTTAAAAAAAACCACTTATTATATCGTGGGTTTTTCTCATTACAATGTATCAGAAAATCATTGTGTTTCTATGTTTGTATATTATTATTATTCGGACTCATATATTTTGTGGAAGAGTTACATGTATATCAGCCTATATATACACGCAAATATGCGTATTTGTTTTAAATTAAAATTCATTTTTGACACTTTATGATGAGTTACAATAAATATCTAACTTTACGTTTTCACTCCAATTTTTGGCAGCTGGTGGTGGGGCTTATATATTTTTTACTTAAGTCTATTACTCAGTTTGTATATTGTAATATTATTTGTATTTTGGTATTCAAGTTATAATTTGAAATTTTGGAGTAATAGGCCCTATGTTGGTGACAGTTGTAGAACTTGTGTTTATAACAATCTTGACTGATTGTTTAATCAACAAAATATTTATCATATTTTAAGGTTTTTATGTTATGAGGTTTTTTACTTTTTACTAATTGAAATGCAAGAGTGTTTTTTTTATTTGAAGACTGTAATGATATGTCTATAGCCATAGCGAAGTGAATTATTAACCACCTTCATATTTGTGATAATCTATCAAGAGACCGGGAGGATCTTCAAGAAAGCATAACTCTGGTTTGCGAAAACATCAAATAACGAAAAGATTAATTAAGTAAGAATTCAATTGAATAACGAAGAATTTAATTTAATATGGTTGAACATTAAAAGATCAATAATGATAGAAATAGAAATATTCTCCGTTGAAGAATCATGGAGAATTTGCCGTATAGAAGAGTCTGTCTAAAGTACATGTATCACTGAAAAATTGCCTGGGTTAATTTCACCCAAGCAAGGGTGTAAACTGCAACTACCCGAAATTGTGGTATGTTATTACCCAATTGCTTGGGTTATAACTTCTGTTAAATTCAACCAAAACTTGTGGTCATACAAAATTAAATTTAATTTGATCTTGTATGACCACAAGTTTTGGTTGAATTTAACAGAAATTATACTAAATTGAAACAATTTCCTTTTTCCAACGGACAGAGTCTGAAGGAGTGTACCGATGTAAATATTTGTTTTTCTCTCTCTCTTTCTCTCAGACCTTTGCCGGTCTGACTATTTGGGCATGTTTTTTTAGGTGAAATTGCCGGTAAAAGGATCATCAACTGCTTTATTTTTGATGCTTTATTTTAGAACTGTCTTATTATATTAAAACAAGATGTTTAAAATGAATTTTAAAAAAGGACGGTCATATCCAAGCATTCAGGAGTCGAACCCAGGAAATGAACTTGAACCCATTACCTCCTTCCATGTTGGACTCTTCTGGGATCTTAGCGTCCCTAATCACACATCCTTCCCTATCCATCACGTAACAGCGCGGGAGGAAACAAGCCAGCCGGGCGGCCCCCTAGCCCTGGCCCCGAGTGGGTCAGTATACGTGCCTCAAACTTTTACGAAGGATACCAGTAGACCTTGCGGACAGTCCTGTCCCAGTAGCAGAGCTATATACCGATGCTGGTGTTGGTCAGCAATATGTGCATTGTTTCTTACCAGATTACGTTTGTAAGATAATGTATTGTCCTTGTAATCAGTTTGTCCATGTAATCAGTTTGTTTATCTCATCTGTCAATTTGGTCATTCTGTATATCTGTTGCGGGTGTGATTTGTGTAAGTCTCATCATTTCACTAAGTATTTCTTTAATTGCATGTAGTTATTATTTAAAGCATCTATATATATAAAAGCTTGGCTTCCAGAATATGCCTCCGTACCTCGACACTTTAACTTACAATGTCGCATTTGTTTTTGTAACCTTACCCTAATCCTTGCCCTCAACCAACCATATCCTTTAAATCACGATAGCTAACCCTAACTCTATATACATAGGTTCTCGAAACTTACTCCCCTGGCTCCCATGTGTGGCTCGACTGCTCTGTACAGTCAGAGGGAGATATTTGATGGGCGTACGATATATCGGGGTGCAGACCAGTAAATCGGTCCGAAATTGCCTGCGCCGGCCAAATCGCGATTTGCATGCCCTCAAAATCTTCGGTATTTGAGCATGCTGTGGGCCATGAACTTGAGGGTTTGTAAAAAATATGGGTGGAAGAGAAGCGAATATGGGTGGAAGGGAAGCGAAACAGGACTGGGAGCTTGCAGTTCTGTGTAATTTGGATGTAATTTGCACCCTAAAAGCGCTCTATTTTGCAATGGAGTGTAGGCATCGTTTTTCAAAATGGCGATGGGCTTCAGGACTATTTTCAGGGGTGATCGTCTTCAGATGGAAATTTCTCCTAAAAGTCATCAGCTGACCCCCCGTAAAGTGAACAGAAAATGAAAGATGATGAAATAAGCTTTAATTTGATGTGTGTCTCGAACACCTTGGAGAGTTGTGAGTATTTTTCCCGAATTTTTGAAGTGGGAGCATTTACCATTGGGGTCTATGGAAGTTTATTTACTGGTCTGCTACCATCGGCACTCCCTGGGAGTTGGGCATACAGCGGCCATGAGATCTTGATGATGACGACGCGTAACGTACGGGGAGGAGGAGGAGGAGGAGGAGGAGGAGGAGGAGGAGGAGGAGGAGGAGGAGGAGGAGGAGGAGGAGGAGGAGGAGGAGGAGGAGGAGGAGGAGGAGGAGGAGGAGGAGGAGGAGGAGGAGGAGGAGGAGGAGGAGGAGGAGGAGGAGGAGGAGGAGGAGGAGGAGGAGGAGGAGGAGGAGGAGGGAGGAGGAGGAGGAGGAGGATAACTGCGTAGCAATGGCGGGGCAGTTGAGCGGGAATAAGTGGATCTCTCTTTACTGTGATTTCTTGGCCCTCCCCTGTGCCGGATACCTGCTTCGGACGATCACACAGACTGTGATTTTTGATCCACCAGACCTGCCGAGGCCGCTTGACCTCTCCGTGCTTCGCCGGTCACATCATCAAAGAGTTCTCGGCCAAGGGTCCACGTCATCGCGTGCAGCCGCTAGCTCGGCGTGCCGGAATGACTCTCAACGCCGATCCTTCGATCTGCGACAAAGCGGCCTCGGACGCGTAAGAACAATTGGTTAAATGAACAACATTCCCAGATTCAGTGGCGTAGCGTGTCATTTTCATTTGTTGGATAGTCGCTAGCTCATCCGTGCTAAAAGTGGGATTTTTTTTCCACCTGTCATCCGGCCTCTGTAAAATCAAGAAGTGGGGTGGGCCGGGTGGGGGTGGAGGGGGCTGAAACCGTCTTCTTATGGGGCGCTGCATAAGCCGGACGATAATAAGCACTATTAAAAATATGGTTATCAAAAGCTGCCTCTTGTCTTACAAAAAGGAGGAAGAATCGCCAGCGTCTCCATGAAGGCAACTCTCAAGCATTTGAACTGCAGGTTTAAAATGCTCAACAGTATATGCCCCTCTCTTTATTGGTATTTACCAGAAACACTTTCGATTTCAGCAAAAAATCGAAGCTTATCAACGCCGAAATTACCATTCGCGGTCTATTGCCATTTTACAATAGTCTGGTTGCGCGCAAACGTTGTGACTTTTGAATTCAGGAGGCGAGATTCAGACCTAAGCAGATCTAAACATAATGTTTTGTTTGTAGAAATAATGGCCTATGATTATACGCTTAGTTTGTTAACGTTATATTTTCTGAAAATTGCGCTGTTTAGATGGACTAAGCCTGCGAACGCTTTACAAATTGAACTGTTATCCTTGTAAAGGAATCTAAGACTTTGAAATTGATTTTTAAAAGTAGTGAACGTATTATTAGTTAGCTGCACGATTCTCACGATCGAGGGTCTTGGAAACCTCACTTTACAGTTACAACAAAATTAATGAGTATCGTCGGAAGTCGATGTCTTGTTGATGAAGATGAAAGAATGATTTTTTTCAGTGACTAGAAAATTCAAACCTTTACATTTGTTTCAATTTTTTTCATTTAAGGTAAACCCTGGTTCATCTTTGGTAGTGCTCCGCTACTGAGTATTGTGATGCTTTTTTTCAGCCAAGCTGCACGCTCACATCAATAATGTCATAGCACTGCGCAAGGGAAGATACCCTTTTCGCTCATATTCCTCTGTAGCACACGATTGTCAACAATACACGAAAACTATCTTTACTGAAATAAAGGCAATTTCAGTTCGGTAAATAAGTCAATACCGGCTGATAATCTTGTCATAAATTGTGTTCAGTAAAATCTTGAACCTTCGAGACATATGCCATTGGGGGCGCTGTCTATGATTCAAATTGATGTACATATATCAAACGGTGCATTTAAAGCTTTTATGCTGTTCGTTCTTTGTTTTTTAGTGCTATATTTGGGCTGTTGGACAGTTGTAAAATTACCTTCAAATTTTTGTTTATTACAACTAAGATGGGAGGGGGTGATCCAATGGGACCTCGGGCCAATGGGACTTCGGACCAATGGGGACTTCGGACCAATGGGACTTCGGACCAATGGGGACTTCGGACCAATGGGACTTCGGACCAATGGGGACTTTGGACCAATGGGGACTTCGGACTAATGGGACTTCGGACCAATGGGGACTTCGGACCAATGGGACTTCGGACCAATGGGACTTCGGACCAATGGGACTTCGGACCAATGGGGACTTCGGACCAATGGGACGTCCGACCAATGGGACATCCGAACAATTGGACGTTATACCAATGGAGAGCAATGGGACGTCGGACCAATGCATACTTCGGACTATAGAGACGTCCCCGATCCCGGGTGGTCCATTCCCTGGTCAAATAGTGGGGGGATAAATCCTCCCCATCCCCTAGCCCCGGGCTTTACGCTTTTGTCAGTGCGGTGTTCTGTCAAAACTCTTCTGTGCAGTTTCAAGAATTTGTGTGCATTTAAATATTGGATAAATCTATATCTTTCCAATAAAATCATAAAATGTCGTAATTTTAAAATAAAATGCCAACAATTATTCACAAAGGCTTCAACAAAGTAACTTCCTTTTAGTTGTTTAAATTTTAAACTGCACTTTCCTTTTTAAAATTACCTTTAGGTGCCAAATAGTCTG